GGAGGAGGTGGAGGAGGAGAGGAGGAGGACGAGGAGGAGGAGGAGGGAGGAGGACCCCAGGAGGAGCAGCAGGGCCGGGAGCGGCGGAACGGGCGGGCGCAATAGCAGGAGGCAAGAGCGGGAGGCAGGAGCAGGGCCAGGGGAAGGAGAGGAAGGAGGGAGCCGTGTGCGGGAGCCTCTGGAGCAGGAGGGGCATATGGAGCAGGAGCGGGACTGACCTCCTCCTCCTCCTCCTCCTCCTCCTCCTCCTCCTCCTCCTCCTCCTCCTCATCATCATCACCACCACCACCACCACCACCACCACCACCACAATCATCATCATCCCTTTCGAGAGAAGCGGGCTCGAGCGAGAGGAACCTGACGACGAAGTGCCGCATGCGGCCGGCTACTGCCTTGACGACGTCGCTGCTGGGGCCCCCGACGCATCCGGCCCGACACGCGGTCACATGCCTGACCAGGTCCTTGCGCTCTCTGGACTACAGTCGATCCGTATCATAAGGACGCTCGGCAAGGATGCAAGGGCCTTGGAGGGCCAGGTTAACGTATTTTGATCAAGGTCGACCGTCGACGAAAGTCGCTGAGGATGGGCCGAAGGGGCAAGGATGCAAGGGTACCCTTTGGCAGGCTGCCCGTCCTTACTGTGCAGGTTGACTGTACCGTGCAAGCGAGACCAGCAATCCTGTTCCGGGCGCTCCCCAGGCGTTCTGGGAACCCCTGCAGGGCCGCGGCCCGATGCCCGATGCCTGAGCCCTGAGGGGCTCTCAGGGGCCACGGCCCCAGTCGCCTTGCCCAATCGGGCAGAGGCACACGCGCTTCGCCGCGTGAGCCTGCGCCGGCAGAGGCCTCCCCGGAGGAGGAGGAGGAGGAGGAGGAGGAGGAGGAGGAGGAGGAGGAGGAGGAGGAGGAGGAGGAGGAGGAGGAGGGAGGAGGGAGGAGGAGGAGGAGGAGGAGGAGGAGGAGGAGGAGGAGGAGGAGGCCAGCGCAGACCTGCCGCACGGCGCACGGCGGCGGGGAGCCAGGCGGGGTCCACCCACGTCGTCGTCGGCTGGCGTCGGACGAGCTCCGAGGGCCTGCGCGGCGCTGGAGCGCGCCCGCGGGCCAGACGGAGGCCGAGCAGTCCGTACGGACTTGCTCCGTGTGGACTTTCAGCTTCATTATCAGGAGGGGCGAAGTCCAGGCGGAGGAAGCCTAGATGAAGACCGAGCACTCCGTATGGACTCACTCCGTATGGGCTTGGCATCCGCCGCGAGAGAGTGAGAGGCAGAGAAGACAGGGACGAAGGAAGTGTTCGACTCGGCTGTTTCGGGTCGCCTGCCCCCAAACCTCTTCACCCCTCCCCAAGGACTGGCTTCTCGTCCCGAGCCGTGCTTTGATGGTCCAGGGCCCAGAGGCATGCTGCGGACACAGATAATGGTGACAGAAACTCATGTACGACTCTTACTGGTCGAGCAAGATCAGGGTGCGGGCCCCTCTCGGGAGTTGGAGGGGGGCCAGCCCGAAGGACCGAGAAAGACAGAAGGCGGCGCAGTCTGCCTGGGCGGTGATCGCCAAAACGGTGGTGAACCCGCCTACGACGATCGCCTCGGCCGGAAGGGCGAGGGAGCAGGGACGAGGGACGAGGATGTCAGTTAAACAACGACGGAACTTGTGTGCTTGTCCTTGGGGCACTCTGCTAGATGCTGACATGTTTGTTCAGTGTATACAAATGTGTACATATACATACATACGCACAAAAATACCGACATATACATGCACATGAACATATCCATGAACATGTGCGTACAAATCTACATAGGCGCATGCGTATACATCTACATGTGTGTATATACGCATACAAATACATGTATATGAACATGTACAGATACAAATGCATATACTGACGCATGTGCAAATACATGTTCGTATACAAACAAGTGAATATAGGCATATGATTACACATGTGCATGGGCTGATACATGTACATAAACATATACATAAACAAAGGTTTAACCGTATACAATGCGAATACACGAACAAAACCGTAATCAGGAACGTACAACCGTAATCAGGAACATACGAATATGGAAAGATGCATAGATGAACTTGTGTTCGCACGCATAGACTTACGCATGTACATACGAGTAGGCATATGCATGTACATGTGTGGACAGATGTATGCATACACATGTGTTTGTGTGCCCATAAATGCATCATATACACATACATGTGCACATGTTTACGCCTATACATAAACATAAGCAGCTACAAGTACTAAGAATCAAACGTATACGTGTGCACAATCATGCATATACACGTATATATGTGCACCTATACGCATACATATATACATAATGTGAATGCACACATGCATACAAGCACGTGTCCATTCATATGTACATTCATACATACATATAAAAGGGCACGCACATCCATACATACATGCACGCGCGCATAGAGGCAAACATGCATAGACGCATGCATGTATACATACATACATGCATGCACGCATACATGCATGCATACAATCACCTGCCAAAGATTCATGCAGTTATCTCTTCCCCCTCCCTCACGTACATATCGCTCTCTCTCTCTCTCTCTCTCTCTCTCTCTTTCTGTTGCACAAGTTCCGTCCTACACTGGCTCAAGTGCAACGTCAAACCGCATGGTTTCCACTCATGTTCGCGATCGCCTGTCACCTGGAAAGTCCCATGCACGTACACGGCCCGGTAATGTTCTGCGCCGCCAGCGCCGTGTTGGCGCTCCTCGTGAATGGGGCTGCTCCAAGAGCACGGACTCTCCCCGCCCAAATCTCGCTTCACCAGGGCCTGCTTCGCAGGGGCTCGCGCCCTCGGGGCTCGCGTCGCCAGGGCCCGCTTCGCCGAGGCTCTCCCCTCGCCGAGGACCCGCGGCCCAGGCAGACCCCTTTCTTTGAGCTCAACGCCCACACAGTCTTGGTGACAAAGGACACAGCAGCGGCGGCTGAGAACCCACTGCTGGCAGTGAGGGGGGACCTCACTGACCGAAAGAGCACCTCCAGCAGCCCCGTGGGCTGGGAGGCACTGGCCACACGACGGGCGACCGCCCCGTGGCCAGAGCAAGAGAAAAACAGTCCAATGCTCGGGCGGGCGGGACACCAAGAAGCGAGCGGGCGGGCTCTCGAGCACAGGCCGGCGGGCGGGCCCGGACGGGCGGGCTCCGACGAGCGGGCGGGGCGGGCGAGGCGGGGCCCCGGGCGAAGCGGGCGGGGCGAGGCGGGGCCGCCTGCGTCGGCGCGCCGGGAGAGGGCTGTTCCCTTTCGGTGGCAACCCATGGGAGCCTCCCGTACCCTCTCGTCGGCTCTTGCTAGCCGACGCTAAAGCGACGCCTAAGCGACGCTAAGTTGACGCCTGTCGATACTGATCCACGCAAAATCGGCGCTACATCGTCGACTCACACGCGCCAATCGACGCGAATCGACGCCAATCGACGCTAAAGGCAAAAGTGCGAAGTTACACACGAAGCTCACATGATGTGCTCCCGACTGGTCCCTCGAGGGCAGGGAGCACCAAGCTCTGGTCTGAGGGCATGAGGGCCTCCCCGCCTCTGTCGCGGGAGGCCCGGTGGTGCTTTCCAGCGTTACACCAAAAAAACTCGCGAAAAAGGCGGCAGCACATGTACTCGAGTCGAAGATGTGGAGGAGAGGAGAAGGAAGAGGAAGAGGAGGAGGAGGAGGAGGAGGAGGAAGAGGAGGACGAGGAGGAAGGGGAGGAGGAGGCGAGAAAAGAGAAGGAAAAGGAGGAGGAGGAGGAGGAGGACGACGACGACGACGGCAAAAGAATGAGGAGGTGCAGCAGCAGCAGCAGCAGCAACAGCAGCAGCAGCCGCAGGAACAGCCGGAGCAGCAACAGCAACAGGAGCAGCAGCAGCAGCAGCAGCAGCAACAGGAGCAGCAGCAGGAAGAACAGCAGGAGCAGAGGGGAGGCAAAGAAGGAACGGGAGCAGGAGAAGGAGGGATGAGAAGAGAGAAGGGGAGGAAGGGAGAGAAAACATTGCCATGCCATGGTCGCCGCAGTCAACAAGGCCGCTGAGGCCATGCAGCCGTCGATCACGGAGCCTGATTGGCATCTGCTGCGAAAGGACGGAGGAAGCATGAAACGAGAGCACAGACAGACAGACAGGCAAGCAGGCAGGAATCCCTAGGAACTCCATAGGTTTAGGCTGTAAGCCTCCCCTTGCCAAAAAAAGAAACGGGAGGCTGACGCCTTAAACCTTACCTCACCTTCCCTTACCTTACCTTGCCAGGCAGACATGCAGACTCTAGACTGGCACGGGCGAGGCCTGCGCGCCAGGGACACCTGCCGACGAGGCTCGAGCCACCGCGGCACCGAAGCGCCAGGAGGCCGGGAGAAGCCAGCAAGAGAGGGCGGAGAAGGACGAGGACGAGAAACAGGCAGAGAGCAGGGCAGAGCCCCGCCCGTCGGCGAGCCTAGCCAGTCAGCAGCAAGGCGTGGCACTATCGCAGCAAGGCCTGAAGCTGAGGGCCCCGGCGGATGGATACGCGGGTTCGACCTTGAGTGGTCTGCTGTGCATGCTGCTGAGAGAGAGAGAGAGAGAGAAGGAGCCACGCAAAATCTGAAATGGGGCCGGGAATACGGAAGAGGAGGAAGAGGAGCAGGATGCAGCGAGACAACAGACGGAGCTTCGGACGAGCACGGGCAGCCCGTCGCATCGCATCCCATTCCTCTTCCTCCTCGTCCTCCTCCCGAGGACGAGCGACAGGTGCCGAGCAACAAGGCCACAACACTGAGGAGGCTGGGACGCCGAGAGGAGCAGGACCTTCTGGGAGGTGAGATTGGCATCAGGTGAGACTGGTGCCAGGCCTGGCCGCTGAACACCATGGTCCGCCCGCCAGTCAGACTAGCCATGCTGCCAAGTGATAAATGATGCATCCCCCTCCTGAATTACGTTGTCCCCATCGTACGTAAGGAGCACATCCCAGAAATAATTTCGAGCCCCCAAGAAAATATCGAAACAGTGTCCAACGAGTGTCGCCTCCCAGGGCCCGACACGTGAAAATCCTCCAATTTGGGCACTTTTCTGGTACTCGAAATTACTTCTGGTGATCAAGGCTAGAGCAGGTTGGAACATCATAACACCTGAACCAAATCCTGGCTCCCCACATCAGCATCCTGACGTTGCCCGCGAAGCGCGTCACTGTCGGCACGAGCGCAGCACCACTCCAGGGGCACTGTCAGGTCATGAGGGCCGTCTACGTCAGGCGTGCCACCCGAATCTTCTCGCCAGAGGTCGACTACGCTCGCATTCGAAAAAAGTCCGCCGCCGTGCAATGCGACAGAAGCGCCCAAAAGAGCCCAAAACTCTTGGCTGTGGGCCCCGTCAAGAATCCGCAGGACGGAGGACGGAGGTCCTGGAGCTTGTCGCGTGACTTTTTCGGAGCCAGGAACACCCCAAGACGGGCCAAGAGGGCCACTATAGCCCCCCAAGGACGGTTCAAGAGGCCACTGAGTCGCTCCAAGAGCGCTCCAAGACGCCCAAGATGACCTCCAGACAGGCCGAGAGGCCCCCGAGACACCCCAAGCGGGCTCCAAAAGGCCCCCCAAGAGGGCAACATTGTAGCGTTCCCGCCCTTTCCAGCTTTCAAGGCTCCAAGACGGCCCAAGGGGTCCCCAAGATCACCCCAAGACGGTCCAGGAGGCCTCCAAGAGGGCCCCCAGACGCCCTGGGAGGATCCCAACCAGGACGGCCCAAGAGGCCCCCAAAACGGCCTAAGAGGGCCCCAAGAGGGACTCGTCAACGAGAAGAAAGGGAACGCGAACCGACATTTCGAGCCCTCCGCCGCAAGACGACCTGTAAGAACACCAGCAGCCCCGCGACGAACCCCCCAGAAGCTCCAGGAGGCCCCCTAAGAGGACCACATCAGGCCCCAAGAGGCCCCGAAGAGGCCCACGAGAGGCCCCAAAGGCACCCCAAAACCGCCTTCAAAGAGGCGTCCGAGAGGCCTCCCAAGCGATCCGCACAGCCATCCAAAAATTGTCCGAATGAAAACAAAGCAAGGTACGTTGGCGGGATGGGCCGAAGGCAACTAAATCCGCCGCCTCCTGTGGTCTTGCCACAGGCACCTGGCTTGCTAAACTTCAAAAGGTGGTTGGTTCTTTCAGGTTATGTTAAAATTTTCCCTGGGGCTTCAGCCCAGCCCGCCGGCCACCCAGAAAATGCCTGGGCCGTCGGTTTTCGGCCCCTGGATGGCGTCCAAGACGGCCAAGAGACGGCCAAGAAGTTCCAAGATGGCCTCCAAGACAGCCCAAGATGGCTCCAAGATGGCCCAAGACGGCCCAGGAGGCCCCCAAGAGGCCTTCAAGACGGCCCAAGAGACCTACAAAATGTCCTCCAGGAAAGCCCGAAAGGGAAAAAAACATGGATTGTCCTTAGGCTGTTGTAAGATTTCGGCATTTGCTTCGTTTCGGCCTTCTGACGGCCCGAGACGGCCCAACAGGCCCCAAGATCGCCCCAAGATCGCCCAAGAGGCCTCTAAGATGGCCCCTAGAACGATCCAAGAAGCCCCCAAGACGGTCCCACGAGATCCCCAAGACGGCCCAAGAGGCCTACAAGACGCCCAAGAGGCCTCCAAGACGGCACTGAAGCGCCCCAAGAGGGCCCCAAGCTTCCGACGGCGTCAGACGGGCCAGGAACACCGTAAGACTGCCAAAGAGGTCAACAAGAGGCCCCCAAGAGGCCTCCAAGAGGCCCCCAGGAACCCCCCAGGATGACCCAAGTGTGCCCTAGGAGGCTCCCAAGAGGCTGTCTCCTCCTCGTCAGTGTTCCTCCTCCTCCTCTTCCTCTTCCTCTTTCGCCTCCAAGAATTCCCCCAAGCGTTTCCACGACGGCTCGGGGAACACATGGTCCGATAGCTTGTCCAATCTCTGGACACAAAGCTCGGCCACACCGGCGGGTCCAAAATGGCAGGGGGCGGCGGTGGTTCGCCGTAGGCGTCTTCGATCCGCCACCCCCTAGTCTTGCCACATGGGTGCGCGGCGTGCTAGCTGTCTTGGAGGTTTCGGCTCTTTCCTAGAGAACTCCCCATGAGGCTTCGGCCCAGCCCGCCGGCCACCCAGAAGACGCGCCCTTCATTGGCCTCCCCTACAGCATACATGCATACATACATAGATGCATGGACACACGCATACATACATTCGTACATGCACATATACAAATACATGAGAATTCCACAGATCTATATGTACGGATATGTACTGCGACGAATGGAAAACATGTATGTCTGCTGCGGGATAATCACAAAAGTGAGATATGGGAGTGGAGGAGGAGGCGGAGAAGGAGGAGGACGAGGAGGCGGAGGAGGAGGAGAAGGAGGAGGACGAGGAGGACGAGGAGCAGAAGGAGGAGGAGGAGTAGGAAGATGAGAAAGAGAAGAGGAGGAGCCCTCTGTAGACGCACCCCCCCTCCTTCAGAGCCCCCCGACCGCCGTGGGCCGCCTCCCCTCCCGAGTCCGCAGCTCCAGCAGGCGCGCCCGTGTCGGGGCCGAGGACATCGCTGAGCATCGACGGGCGGCAGCGGAGGTCACCCAGAGCGTCGGCCCCCCAGAGCTCGACCCTGCGCGGGACCACGGCGGCCAAAGCTGGCCGCCGGCGCCGGCCACGGTGCCGCGGAGCGCCCGGGGCACGCCCGGAGCGGGCCAGGCCGGGCGGCCGGGGGCGGGGCGCAGCCGTTGAGGTTCCACTCTGCACGACGCCGGCGCGCAGGCCGCCTGGACGGAGGGCCCGCCCTCGGGCGCTGGGCCCCGCGGCTCGGGGCCCCCGAGGCCTGGAGCGCTGCAGGCTCGACCTGCTGGCCCCGTCCTGTCCTCGGGGCCCCGCCCCGCAGGGCCCCACCTTCGACACCCAGGGCTGACCGGCGACGTCGGTACGGGTGAGGGGCACGGGCAGCACGAGGAGTGCCGCCAGCAGCGCGGCCTGGAGCTCCAGGAGCAGGCCGCGCGTGCTCGGAAAGGCCCGAGAGCACGACCAGATCTGGCGTGCCGCGCGCAGCGCCGATCACTGCGCAGAGCTTCGACGCAGTCGCGGCTCGGCAGTGGGCGGAGTTCCCCTCTGCCTCCTCTCTTGCCTCTGCTCCCCCTTCTCCTCCTCCTCCACGAGCTCCTTTCCCTCCTCCTCCTCCCCCTCCTCCTCCTCCTCCTCCTCCTCCTCATGCTCATCCTCCTCATCGTCCTCGTCTTCATCATCATCATCCTCATCATCATCCTAATCCGCATCCGCATCCTCATCCTCATCATCATCATCCTCATCGTCAGCAGCAGCAGCAGCTGCATCATCATCATCAGCAGCAGCAGCATCACCACCACCACCACCATCATCATCATCAGCAGCAGCATCATCATCATCTTAAGCATCATCATCAGCAGCATCATCATTGTTATCATCATTATCATCAGCATCACCATCATCAGCATCATCATCAGCATCATCAGCATCATCATTATCAGCAGCATTATCAGCAGCATCATCATTGCCATCATCCTCATACTCATCGTCATCCTCATCTTCATCATCATCCTCGTCCTCCTCCTTCTCCTCCTTCTCCTCCTCCACTTTTGCCGTACTGCTTGAGCCAGAAACTACGGTCCCGGCATCTCGAGGCACGGTAGGCCAGGACAGCCTCTTCCACCATACGCCCCTTCCTGGGGCAGAATGCCACGGTGGCACAAGCACAACTGAATGGTTTACCTGGTGGTGGTTCACAACATCGGGTCTGGGCTTGTAGGCAGTCGGGTGGTCTACTCAATTAGTGACTTCTATATATCTATATATGTATATACATATACATACATATGTTCTCTCTGCCGACATAACTATACTATACACAAATGTATATAAGTATGTATGTATGTGAATGTAAATGTATATGTAGATACACACAAACATACGTATATGTGTGTATGTGTATTTCTCTCTCTCTCTCTGTCTCTCTCTTTCTCTCTATCTATTTCACTCGCTTTCCCTCTCTCCATCTTCCCTTCAATATTGCATCGAGTGCTTTGCCAGGCCACACCGCGTGTGCTTACTGTCGGGGTCCCATGCTCCCAGTCCGGAGCGGTGGGCAGGGGGAGGCCCAGAGGGTCACGCCTTGGCGTGTCTCCCCGTGCTGGCGCGGCCAGGTTTGGCTCCGCAGTCACACTGACGAACCAACAATACACACCCATACCCATAGGGGAGTCGGAGAGGGCTATGGGTGCATGTTGTCGGATGGGCGTCCCCGCTCGAACGGGAGCGTTCCCCAGGGTCCGACAAACCGCACCCATGCCCATAGCCAGTCCTCCTCCGAACGACCCCCTATGGGTATGGGTGTGTGTTGTTCGTTCGTCACACACTGAGCGGTGCCGCGCAGAGCACGCCGTGAGCTCTGGATCACCCCCCCTTTGCCTCCGAGGCAAAAGAATCCTTCGCCACGGAACACAGAATCGGCTTGTTTTTTTCCGCCATTGCAGTTATTGGGAGGCCCCGCCTCAGCGCCCGCGACAATCAACAAGATTACCCAGGATGGAAAACCAGCTTTGGAAAAGGAGTCCACAGGTCCGGCGGCGCACGTTGCGCAAAAATACCTCGACGGAGGTCTGGGGGGGAGGGACGAGAGTAAGGACAAGGTAGGAGGAACAACGGAGGAGCAAGGAGAAGGGAGAAGGACAGCTGGGGAGGAGGAGGGGCAGGCAAGAGGTGGACCTGCCGCGTAAAGTACTTAAAGAGGATGACAATGCGATGGGTCCTGATCCAGAGAGGAGGAAAATGAGAAGGTGTCGGGGAGGGAGTGGGGGAACGGGAACCAGCTGCACATGGTTCGGATAGAGCTGTGGCTGCTGGTTGCGTGTCTCCGCCTCCACCGCCGCCAACGCTGGCTGATCCTTAACATCATCCAACCCATCATCACAATCATCATCATCCTCCTCATCATCATCATCATCATCATCATCATCATCATCAATCATCATCATCATCCTCATCATCATCATCATCATCATCCTCATCATCATCGTCGTCGTCATCATCATCATCATCATCATCATCCTCATCATCATCATCATCATCATCATCATCATCATCATCATCCTCATCATCGTCGTCGTCGTCATCATCATCATCATCATCATCATCAGCATCATAATCATCATCATCATCATCATCATCATTATCATCATCATTATCATCATCATCATCAACATCATAATCGTCGTCATCATCATCAGCAGCATCATCATCAGCATCAGCATCAGCATCATCATCATCACCACCATCACCACCACCACAATCATCATCAGCATCGTCAGCAGCAGCAAAATAATAATACGAATGCTAGTAATAACAATGATAATGATCATCAGAATCATCATCAGTATCATCATCACAAGTAACATCATCAGTAGCATGATCATCATCAGCATATCATCATTAGCATCATCATCAGCGTCATCATAATCAACATCAGCAACATCATCATCACCATCATCATCATAACCATCATCATCAGCATCGTCGTCACCATCATATTCGTCATCATCGGCATCATCATCGTCATCATCATCACCGTCATCATCATCACCATCATCCTCAACAACATCGTCGGCATCATCATCGTCGTCAACAACGGCATTATCATCAGCACTTGTCACAACCAACATCATCATCGTCGATGCCATTATAGTCGTCTTCATCTTCGTCGTCAGCGGCATCGCCATCGTAACTATTGCAATCGTCAGAATCATCATTATGATCTGCATTACCATTACTATCACCATCGTAGTCTTCATAACCACTGCCGTCGTCATTTGCATGGTCTCACTCACAAGCACGTTCTTCTCCTCATCATCATCCTCGGCCCTCGATCGCCTGCTGTCCGAAATTGAGCTGGGCCAGGGAGTGCAGGACGTCGACCTGGCCGACGAGGGCCCGATAGAGCATTCGTGAGGAATCACACTGCCAGGGGAACGAGAGCGGCGGACAAGGCCACAATTAGGTGGCGACATCAGAACCGAAGCGATGAAAGGCGTGGGTATGGTAGGGTTCGGATTTCGCCACGTGTTCGACGAATTCCGACACCTATTCCCACCGCCCATCGAGTTGCCTGAACCGTTGATCGGCGAGGGTAGGTTTAGGGTTCGGACTTCACCGCCGAGCAAGCGAGACGCGCGAGGGCTGTCTAAACAGACACGCGGGCAACAGCGTCAGCAGCGGCTGGCACTGGCTGACGCGGCAGCGGCAGAGCACCGGCGGCGTGCGGCAGGCAGCACAGCGGCAGCGCCAGGACAGCGGCAGCACAACGGCAGCACGCGCACGCAGAGAGGCAGCGCACGGCAGCACAGCGACAGAGCGGCACGCACAGCGGCAGCGCCAGCACAGCGGCAGCACAGCGGCAGCGCAGCAGCAGCAGCACAGCGGCAGCACAGCGGCAGCACCGGGACAGAGCGGAGAGGGAGGGGGCGCGCGGCGCGGCGGCGAGGAAGCGAGGACACAACTCCACAGAAGTTCGGGGAAGAGCAGCTGCCGCCCCTCTGAAAACAAGGTCGCGCGCACGCCCGCGCGCGCGCGCTGCGGCGAGGGAGGGCTGGTCCAAAAGAGGTACGCTGCTCTGTGCCGTCCCCCCACGGCGGCATGCTGCGCGAGCAGCCGCTTCAGCTGTCGCTGACAGCCGCCTCTACGGCAAGAGGGGCCCCTGTCCGAGACGAACGCGGGCAGATCTGCGCCAAAGACCTTTGAAAAACTGCGGGGTCGCGGGCATGCTCGCAGCTGCCAGCTGCTGAAGTAACTGCGGGACGGCCAGCAGCCCTGCTCAACTCCTCTGCTGGCTTCCCGAGCACGGTGGCCAAGCCCTTGCCGCGTGTACAAACAAGCAGGGCTTTGGCGGTAATCACGGCGGCCCCCTGCGCTGTTGTGCCGCCGCCAGCACAACCAACTGGACTGGCGCCTCGTACGGTTCTGGGCCCAATCAGTTTCGCACAACTGGCGCACTTAGCGACCCTCCTCGCGGGGCTCGGACGTAGCTGCGTTTATCAGCTAAATGGTGCAAACGCCATGCACTCCCCGCCATGGCATGCTTCCTCCAACACTAACAAAAACTGTCACAAGTTGATTCACCCGTCTCTCGGAGCCTTCTTTTCGAGAACCAATACGGGTATGGTTGGTTGGGGAACACTCCTAAACGTGAATACATACATGTTGGCACAAATTCCCCAACATATACAAACAAACATAATGTAGGGGGCGTGAAATCATACCCGAACACGACTGGCACATACAGCCCGAACATCGAAACAAGAGCAATGTGCGCGAATATGCGTCACGGGACATCCAGAAAACACTTACATGCGCGAGCTGGTACTGGACCCGGTCGGGAACACGAAGAAAAAATGCCAAAACGTCACAAGCCAACACCAGGCTGAGGACAATCGTGGACATGCGCGTTCCACCACTCGCAAATGAGCTACTCGCAGATGGCCTGGATACGCCTAGGGGCCTTCACGATACATTACGTCGATGCAGATATGTGCTTTTCGGACGTTTGCGAGTGGGCACTTTGCGAGTAGTGGAACGTGCTCGGCGAATTCGAAAGCAGTCGAAGAGAGCAAGGAAGGCGCCACCAGGAACAAGCACGCTCGGTCAACGAAAAGCGGCACCAGGGCCAGGGGCACTCGGAACAGTCGGACACGAGGCCCGACCGCAGAGGTCACCGGCGCACGGAGGGCAGCACCCAGGCGGAGGGGCCAGAGGAATGGGACCGGGGCAGCGGCAAGGGAACGCGGCACCAGGGATGGAGACAGCCCTGGGAGACGAAAGGGTCCGATACTGGTACTTCCACGGACCTCTCCAAGGGGGGCGCTCCATGACTTCAAGGAGCATCCGGCCGTGGCAACGAGGAACCTCCAGGACAAGCAGCGACATGGGTACCTTGCCCTCTTCTCAAGCCCGCGAATCTCGAAGATGAGCGAGGAAGCGCCTAGGGCGCAACTCTCCTCTGGTCCCCGCCGCCCCGATACACGGCGACAACAGCCCCCGGTTACAAGCGGTGCGCTCCCGATGGGAGGCAATCATCCCACCAGCCTTCTGGGCACTAGTGGTCTAGGGCGGTTTCTCTTCCAACCCCTCTTCCCCGTCGGGAGGTGTTTCCCGATGTGTGCTGCCACGTGTGCACTTCGTTTTCAGCACCGCCTGATCCCGGGGCTTTGCCCTCTCTCGGCCCTGACGTGAGGCCCCGCCTTTGTTGTTCCCCTTCTCTGTCAATTCTGTGCGCGGCCCGCTTAGCTCCGATCGGAAGAGGCTCGCTCTCGATCCGCGCACCAAAAAATGCTGCCACGTGCGCGGGCCCACCTGACACACCCGGCACGTGCCCCGAACGCGGCACACCCGGCGCGGCTGGAGCCTGCAGCACGCGCGGGCGCACGCGGAAGCACGCGGCGCGCCTGGCACGCGCGGCTCGCCCCAGCGCCGCGCACACGGGGGTCGGCTGGGATCTGCCCGAGGACGGCCGCTGAACATGCTGAGGCCGAAATGTTACTTGTGCGTCAGGAAGGCGGCGGGAAGCGAGCTGGACGGCTTGCCGTCTAGAGAGTAGATTGGCTCCTGCCCCCCACCCACTCCCCGGGGAGCGCGGGACGTTAGAACGCCCAAAATGGCCCAAAACGGCCCAAGATCAGCCGTAGGCGAGGTGCCAACGCGCTCGCGCCGCAAAAATCCAGAAGGCGCCGCGCCACTGGGCCAATCGATGAGCACAGTCGCCCGGAGGCATCGCTGCCTCCGAACATCCAGAACATATTGTTTTGTTTTTGTTTTGTATTTATTTGTTGTATTCGGGTAAATGTTTGCATCACTGGTTTCACTTTCTTCTCATGTTTAAAATATTAAGGTTTCCCCTAATCGAAGCGGCGAACTTCTAGAAAACTCCACAGCGCCAGCGGGTTAAATGGCTCTAAAAATCTCGACTGAGATTTGAAGAAAAAAATCGGTTGAAAACTACGCACTCGAAATTCAACAATTCCTTTGAGATCTACTATTGTCCCATCATCTAGGGTATTATTCCTGATTTTCCATGTTTGCTAATTTCTTTGATTTGTTTCTTGAACATTTGTTTGGCTCTGACAACAATCAAGAGTGACGCGGACAACCTTGGCCACAATTGCGCTTCTGAATTAAGAACGCCCGCGAATGCCGGGGCTGGACCCACAACGCACGACGGAGAACATCATAGAAAAACAACCAATTCTTACTCCAGACGCGCACGAACGAGAAATGGTGTTTTCAACTGGCGAACGGCACACGGGAGACCACAGAACCGACCAAATCTTCGAGGAGCCGGCCGCCGCGCCTGCAGACGACGGCAGGCGTGGAACCGAAAGGCACCGGCGAGAGGCTCCGCACTGGCGGCTCTGACAGCACGGGCTGGTGCAATCGTCTTTGTAATACCAACACCTCCCTGCTGTCCCAGGCTTATCGCGTAGGTCCAATGGTAATATGTATCAGAAAACCAGGTTTGTTTATCGTGTAGGTCCAATGGTAGTATGCACTACAAAAAAACAAGCAACATAAAAACAGGTTCAACCGATGGCGAGCGTGAGTGCGAGGTGGAGGCGACTCGGCACAAATCTGGAAAGATACGACAATACAGTGGGCCCAGTTTCATTGTTGATTGTTTGTTATATTCTTGTTTTTTCTATACATATTCTCCATGCGTTTTACAATGTATCAGCTAGAACACGCTGCTATCACGTCGTGATTTCACAATGGGGCGACAACATACTGCGCTAAAGTTTCAACTGGCGAAATGCAATCGGAGAACGCCGCCAACACGGGTGAAACAGCCATCTGCCCAGGCGCGCCAGAACTGCGGCGAAAACCACCGCGCGGCGCAGGGGGCAAACGCAGCTCTTTGAAAAAACAAGCGGAGGAGGAGGAGGAGGAGGAGGAGGAGGAGGAGGAGGAGGAGGAGGAGGAGGAGGAGGGGGAGGGGGAGGGGGAGGGGGAGGGGGGGGAGGGAAAGAGGGAGAGGAACGGGGGGAGTGCCAGACTAGCCGCGCCAGTCCCGGAAGAGCCTCAAAAGGTGGCTCGCGAGCGGAATGCGCCAGGACAGAGAAACATGACAGTCACCATGACCGCGCTGCGCACGGAACACGCCGAAGGCTTGCAAACGAGATTGGAATCTCGGACGGAGTTGGCAGCGACTATAAAATCCGGCGAAAAGTTGCACAAACGCACACTACCCAGCGCAGACAAGAGCAGAAGTTTTGAGCTCGAAAATCGCACGGGCCGCGCAGGCGGCGGCGGTGGCAGAGCCGGGAACGGGCGGGAATAAGAGAGGGACCAAGACGGAAGAAGATACAGAAATATTCGGGGCCGAGACCAAGGACAAAACGATGGCTTACACCGAGGGTGGCAACGTCCCTCCGACTGCAAAATAAGTGACAAGCGCCTCAAATTCCGTGACGCCGACAGCGCGCAGGACTTCCTTTGCACAGTATCGAGAATCTCAAGAGCGGCGCGGCTGGCGCGGGCGATAGCAGGCGTGCGGTATTCAGCGAAAGATACGACATGGCTCACGCAGAGCTCGTGCGGCGAGCGGTATCTTCGAGCATAAGGTAAACACATCACACGTGAATGACACGCGGCCGCGCATTGATCGATCGCCTTCGCCATAGAAAGTTGGCAACATCGCCGCGAGGGCTTTGTATCCCACCGAGAGCAACGAGATCGGACGATAGTTGCTTGGTAAAGTTGCGTCTCCTTTCTTGAAAAAAAAGCAAGATGACATTCGCCATGCGCCATTTTTCCGGTGTCTTTCTGGGACCAACACCGCTGACAAACGTGCAATAGTGCTTGGCAAGCGTGTACATCTGTAGATACAACCTTCCAAAAATCTGGTGGTACGTCATCAGGGCCAGCTGCTT